ATTCAGCCTCTCTGGGTTTGATGAGATGCCACCTAGCAGCCTGGTGATGAAGCTGCCTCTCAGTATAGGGTCGGCACCCCCTCCCCGTGCAGTGCTTGGCCAGCTGGCAGTGAGGCCTGACCTCTGGCACTGACCGGGCAGAGCAGGACCTGACCACAGAGGCAGGAGCTGTGGGAGCAGGGCTTCCTGGACTCCGCCCTATCCCAGCTCCTCCTTTGAATTAACTGTGACCTCAGCAAGGGACTCAGCTCTCTGAGCCTCCCCTCGTTTCCTTCTGTAAAGTGAGAGTTCTGGATGGCAGATCCCTTCCTCCAGGTCCCAAGCTCGGGTGACAGGAAAATGATGACTTTGTTGATAGAAGTGAGGAGTTTGGAGAAGGGACTGGTTTAAGGTGAAGAGGATAGGTTTGATTCTGGGCATGTTGAGCTGGAGGGCAACTAGGGCTCTGAGGACGACTGTCCTTTGTGCACAGAGATGAGCTGGCACCTTCAGCGACAGAGAGCCACAGCCACAGGGGACCTTGGGGACCATCTTACCAATGAAAAAGCTGAGGCCCAGCAAGATTCAGGGCAGTTCAAAGAGCTTCCACAGTCTTAGCAGTCTTCCTTTTGAAGGTCCCATCCAACATCAAAGCAGGCACTGAATTCCACCCACATCCTTCATTCAATATATATTGTCTTGCCAGAAAAGAGTTGAAAATATGTTGATAATTTTACTTTTGAAATTATCTGGCTGTATTGGCTGTAATAGCTCAGGCACACGTGGGAATTCTTGCAAAGTGAGAAAACCTAACCTCCTAATTGTTTTCAAATGTAATGAAAATGTTAAAAATGCTGGATTTAGCAATTAGTAGAGTCAATATAATGTTTCACTTGGTAGACACTTAAAGTTTTATTAATTTTCAGTTTTGTAGCTTTTATTTTGTATTTTGGAGCATGTATATTTTTCATTTTCTAACGGACTGTCTAGTGCCCAGTGGCTGCAAGGACCCAGCAGGGTCATGAGGTCTTGCTGCCAGAGACTGGCAAAGTGGGACTGGAGCTCAGCTCTCTTGAGTCCTGGCAGGTGTCCGGGCTGAGGGAGAGTTCTCTGTAAAGAGAAAAGGTGGGGCAACAGCAATTGTTAGGGGTGGGAGGGGCTGTAGAGCCCAAGAGGGAGCAGTCTGAGGAGGAAGAGTAGGGCCTGGGTGGGGTAGGGTGTCACGCCAGGGCATGGTGTCATCAAACTCTGCCGGGATCAGGGTAGTCTGGAGGTAGACGCCCGTGGTGGGGATGTGCAGGAGGGGGCTGTTCTAGTGTCAGTGGGGGTGCTGTCCAGACTGCTAGCTCCCTATCTCAGCACCAGAATCACCAGGAAGCGTTATAAAGATTCCAGATGTTCAGTTCGCTCTAAGATTCAGACTCAGTGGTCTGAACATCTGTATCTTTGGTCCCCGGCCCCAAACTTGGATCATCTGCCAGAGATTAGAAGCTCCTGTCTAGGTGGTGGTGAAGGGTCTTTCCACTCAGGCTTCAGTCTGGCTCCTGGCATCCATCCAGGCCCCCTCTCTCCCTAGCCAGGGTCTCAGGGGTCCCATTGATAGTGTGTGGGTGGCTAGGGCAGGGATAGGGGCGAGGACAAGTCTGCTTACTCTCTATGCCATCCTCTCTGGCAGTGTGATGGATTTTGCCCATTAAGCCCAAACCTAATCAATTGGTTTGCCACGTGGGGCTCTGTCTGACATCACTGCCCACCTCTGGCCCCCATCACCCAGATGGGTGATTGACTGGGAAGACAGAGCACTGAAGTGGTGGGAGGGAGATGAAATGATGTGAGGCAAGCTCCCAGCACCCAGTCTGCCAGCCTTACCTACTGGCATAGGGCCCAGTGCCTCCCTTGCACGGTCCCGAGGCCTCCACATATACCCCTGCCAGGGTGGTATGTCGACGATCATCAGTGCTTGAGCCCTGCTTGCCTAGGCTGCCTGGATCCTTAGGGGGATGATGTTAGTGCTGGGGTCCCAGGCCTCTGCCTGAGCTCTCTTGGTGCTTGGGGGCCCCCTTGGGTGGTGGCTTAGCAGCTACAGCCTCTCTTCTAGATTCCACCCTCCCTCTGCCTCCTCCCCATCCTGAGAGGTAAGGGGTAGCCACAAGGACTGGGTTCTGCCTGTAGAGCTGTTCGTATCTTTTTCTTTCAGACCAAAACAGGTATTCAGAAGAACCTGGAGCAGGAGATCATCCACTACAACTTTAAAACTTCCTTCTTTGACATCTTTGTGAGTGACCTTAGGGTTCTGGGAGCAGAGAGGGAACAGGGACATGTAAGACTCTCTTTTTACTGCAACACACATTCTAACCTGACCAGGGAGAGACTGCTCCCATTCTCAGGGAGGCCTTAGTCTTTACAAAGGTTGCTGAATGAAGTCCCACCTTCAGAGCCCCCCCAGTGGGAGGGAGAAGACAAGACTCGGGTCCAAGGAGGTCTCATCCAGGTTGTCCCCAAAGAAACTCTGACTCAGCTGTTGTTTCCTAAGTTGTGCACACCCATGGGGAGGGAACCTGGGGACGCAGGACTGGAGGGGGAGGTCAGCCTTCAAGGGTAGGGGGTACTGGCTTGCCTGTGATGGCTCCCCACTCCCCCAGGTCCTGGCCTTCTTCCGCTTCTCTGGACTGCTCCTGGGCTACGCGATACTGCGGCTCCGGCACTGGTGGGTGATTGCGGTAAGATGCCACTTTTCCGACAGCTCTGGGGGCCCTGGTGGAGCTGGTGCAAGGGATCGGATGGAGGACTCATTCCCTAGCCTCTGTTTTCCCTCTTTCTTTCCTCCCTTCCCCGGGGCAGGTCACCACGCTGGTGTCCAGTGCCTTCCTCATTGTCAAGGTCATCCTCTCTGAGGTCAGTGGCTCAGGGTCTTGCTGGTCTGGTGGGCATCTGGCCTGAGGGATGGGTTTCTCCTAAGAAGGGACCATTTCTCTGGGTTGGGCTGAGGAGGTGGCTTCTCCTTTGATATTCCAAGGAATCCTCTTCACTGGCTTCCCCCACTTGCCCCCCTGTAACACCAGGAACAGAAAGTTCTTTCTCCAGCCTAACCTCAGTTTTTCCTGCTGCAGAATTTATTAATTTATCTCAGAGGCATGTGCCACAGAGAGTCCCCTAGCAGCTGGTACCAGGAGTGGGATATATGCCAGAGTTGGTAGTCCCAGGAGGGAGCCTGCTCTGGATTTGTGGTGACCCCCTGCCATGGAGCTCAGCCCCCTCTCTCCACAGCTGCTCAGCAAAGGGGCATTTGGCTACCTGCTCCCCATTGTCTCCTTTGTCCTTGCCTGGTTGGAGACCTGGTTCCTTGACTTCAAAGTCCTACCCCAGGAGGCTGAAGAGGAACGATGTGAGTGCCAGGGGTAAGGGGAGGCAGTGAGGGTCATCCCAGCCCAGCCCCAAGAGAGGAGTTTTTCAGGCATGAGAGCCAGTTCTGAGTTGTCAACCTGAGTAGCTTCCAGGAGCCTAAGAGTGAGCCTGGGGCAGGGGGACCCCAGTATGCTCAACTGTCCTTGGTGTAGAACAGTGGCTGCCCATGTCTGCTCTCCAGGGTATCTTGCTGCCCAGGCCGCTGTCGCCCGAGGACCCCTACTCTTCTCCGGAGCTCTGTCCGAGGGCCAGTTCTATTCACCCCCAGAATCCTTTGCAGGTGAGGGCTGGTGGGTGGGGGAACTGCCTTCAGGGAGGGGCTATGTGAGGAGCGAGGTAGGCTGAGTCTGTTCTTTCTATTCCTTCTATGGTCTCCCTGGGGAAAGCCAGCAACCCTCTCCCACACACACTTCTATCCATCCCCCCCACATCCGGCTTTTGTACCCCACTCTCTCCCCACCTCTTCCCATCGTCATCTGTGCTTGTTCTCTGCAGGGTCTGACAATGAATCAGATGAAGAAGTTGTTGGGAAGAAAAGCTTCTCTGCTCAGGTATTTGGTGCCCCCACCGAATACCCCCCCCCCC